CACGTTAAACAAAATGAAAAATGACTCAAAATAGGCTAAGACTTTTGTCTCACGAGTACAGCAACTCTTCTCTATCTACCTCCGTACCCTAAAAATGGCAAATATTCTATTTATACTAAGCTAAGAAAAACCGGCAAAAATACCCCTGCGGGGTCCGTGCGGCCGCACGAAATTGACACGCGGCCGCACTGGGTTGCTTGACTTCTGAGACTTGCCTTCTGAAGATGTTGACGCGGACCGCACAATGATGAAGTGCGGCCGCATGATGACTGGCGCGGACCGCGTGAACTTGTAGTGCGACCGCATGAGTGGCTTGTGATGGTCTCTGAACTTTTGTGGTGCGGACCGCGTGAACTTGTAGTGCGGCCGCATTGGCTGGGACTGAAAATTGCCAACTCTCTGAACTTTTGTGGTGCGGACCGCGTGAACTTGCAATGCGGCCGTATTGGCTGGAATTGAGAATGCCAACTCTCTGAACTCTAGTGGTGCGGCCGCATGACATGATGGTGCGGTCCGCATGAAGTTCTGAATATCCTTGCTTCCATGATCTTTGACACTTGAGCAGGTTTCACTCCGTTTTGAGCCGATTTTTGACTTTCGTTATCTTGTTGCTCAAACCTGCAATCAAGCGCAACTTATAAGCATTCTGGGTTTATTTTATGGCAAATCATACATAAAGCATAGGCAAGTATGGGCATAAAATGTGTTAAAATCACAGTTATCACTCAGCGGTAGAACTTGTGCTCAAATTAGCCTCTCTGAACTTTACTTTCGCGGGCCGCGTATTTGTGGACGCCTCAGCGGTGGTCCTCACGCGACCGCGTAGTTTGTCCGCTCTCCGCGCTCCAGTTCCCAGTCTTTAGTTTGTGCAAGTTTACTCCTTCATGAGTTTATTTTGCCTTCTCTGCCTCATTTTGACCAAAACCTGCAAGTAAGCACAGTAAATTAGTTTTCGGGAATACTTTTACACATTTTTTATCCAAAACCTAAGCAAAAGAGAGCACAAGATAGCTTAAAATCCATAGTTATCAGTTACAAAGTTGCACAAATCAGAAGATGGATGCTTTCTTTATGCATATGTTTCGCTATATGCAGCTATCAAGGGTTGGGAGCATTGCAGACCGGTAATGGTTGTTGAGTGAAGTTTCCTTAAAGCAGCATATAAGGGTACCATATTGACTGCTTGCACGCAAGATGGAGTTGGTGAGTTGATTGCATCTACCTTGTTTCTGCAGTTTGTATAATGTTGTAGTTTCATGTATAAACGTGTATAGGATTTCAGAGCTGCTGTTTTTATAAAATTTACAGTATGTATAAAGTTGTATATTCGTGTATAACTGTGTATAAGATTTGTATAATTGTCTGAATTCTAATATCTATTTTGTATAAACAGGAAAAATCCTTCCACTTGCATATGCAATTGTAGATTCAGAGAATAATAAATCTTGGCAGTGGTTCTTCGTCCAGATAAAGGGTACTTTTGGTGTTAGGGAAGGGATGCGTATAGTTTCAGATAGAAATGAAAGCATCTTTAATGCCACAAAAGTTGTGTACCCAGAAGTTCCACATTGTATTTGCATGCTTCACTTGTGGCAGAATGTCAAGCGCACATTCAAGAAACATCACAAACAATTGAAGGATATCTTCTTCGCTTTGGCTAGAGCTTACACGATAAAGAAGTTTGACTACCATATGATCGAGATGTGCAAAATTGATCCGAGGGTGCAGCCTTACTTGTTCAAAATTGGCTATGAAAGGCGGTCTAGGGCATACTCCAAAGTGAAAAGCTCGATGGTAATGACTTCCAATATTGCATAATCAATTAATGCAGCAAACAAAGATGCTAGAGAGTTACCAGTAATGCGATTGCTGGAGTACATGACAAATTTGCTACAACAGTGGAACAACAAAAACAGAAAAAGTGCAATGGAGACATTTATAGAGCTTGGCGAAAAGTACGACAAACTCCTTCAGGAAAATCTGATTGCATCGGAGCAAATGACGGTAAAACGAATCAAATATAATGATGCATGGCACTGCTGACTTGCATTTTACTGCTTGTATAAGGATGTATAACTCTGTATAATAATGTATAATGTGCTTTAACTTTTTTTTTTTAAAAAAAACTTTTGCAGGTGAGGCCTACTACGGAGCAGTTATATATTGTGCTTGAAGGGGTAAGCCAAAACATAGTGTGCCTTGAAGAGGGAACATGCAGTTGCGGCAAATTTCAAATGGATGAACTTCCATATCCGCATGCTTGGGCGGTTTTGAAGAACCAGCAGCTGACACCTGGCTAGTATTGCTCTTTTTACTACAAGAAGGATAACCTCCTTAGAACTTATGAATTTCCAGTGAATCCGATGCCAGATGAGAGTTTATGGGTAATCCCAACAGAGGTGTTGGAAGATGTGGTCCTACCACCTAAAGGGAGAAGAAATGCAGGAAGGCCAAGAAAGGAAAGACTCAAACTTGCTTCAGAGAAAGAGTCTAAGAGGGCATTTTCATGTTCTGTGTGTGGACAAAGTGGCCACCATAGAAAAACATGTAGCAATCGATCAAAATAAATAGTTGGAAACATAACACTTCCTATTACATATGTTGCCATGTTGAGTAGTTAAGTTTCACAAACAATATAGTTACAAATGTTGAGTAGTTAAGTTTCACAAGCAATTGAGTTACAAATGTCAATAAAGAATTACAATTTACACTATATGTTGCAATTATGTTAAATATGTTTCATTATACATGTTTTGATTATCCAATAATAGTGTGTTGTTGTTTTTAATGGTGCTAAATATATTGATAAATTGTACAAATGCAAAACAGGACTGCAAACAATCAATGTTATTATATGTATACAGATGTATAAATGAGAGTATAAGTTTGTATAAAATTGTATAACTATGTATATTATTGTATACATATGTATAAACCCTGCAACATTGACAAACTGCAACAATAACAAAAATACATACTTTGTTAAAGGAAAAAGCAACTAAAATAATATTCATTAAAATGTAATTCATTCACAGCCACAATGTGTAATGACTACCACAAATTACACAAAAATAAAATCATCTATAATATCCTTTAAGGTTATCTCAAAGTAGCAGAATAGTACTTAGACAAAACTAGGCAACAACTCCTGATACATAGCAAAACTACATTAAAATGAAAAAAACAGAACTATTTTCTCGGTCATCCCTTCTTCCTCTTTCTGAAAAGTCTCCCTGTGATTTCATCACCACTAATTGCACCGGACTGTTATTTTTTCCTTCCATAATCCCACAACAAATATCCCCACCTGGTGCGAAGTGTCTCAATGTCAAAATTATCTTTTCAAATTTCCTTACCCAGGATGAAATACTTAGCAAAGACAGCAACAAAAGCACCCCAATCACTGTAATTAAAAAAAAATCAGATTCTCTGTACATTACCATAAATAGGTACACAAATAGTAAATAGTAAAACAACTGAGATTAACCTACCATTTGATCTGTTGTGGCATATTATTAATCAGATTAATCTGCAAAGCATCAGAATGGGATTTATCGGTATATGCACCATTGTTCCAGTCAATGCCCTTCTTCTCGACATAAAAGTCAGAACTCTTCAAGAAGTAAGGTATCAAAATTGCATAAGGTAATGCAGCATCCAAAGCAAGTCTATCATTAATAGCTCCACGGTTAGAGTCATAGATGTGGATACACCTATCTATGAACGTAAACAACCCCAAAACCTAGTGGCCCAATTTTGCTCTTCCGCGCTTGACATAAATAGGGAATAAGACGTGGTCAACAGTGCCACGCTACATTCGCATCACAATAATACCCTCTAATGTACTCTTCTATTTCATGCCCTTCAGGAATCACTGAAGGATCTTGCTTCACTTTGAAATCTTTATACAGTGAGTTGATTTTGTTACCAAAGGCAAAGTCAGTTGTAGTAAACCGCATGGCAACATTCGGCCCATATTTTCCCCTCTTCATCAAATAGTAAAAGAGGACATCCAAGTGCAGAGACAAGAAAAATAAAACAAAAACAACCATCACTACTAAATGATTCATAGTATTACAAAAAAATCAATATATGATGGAAAGTTTCTAAATATACAAATTTATACACTATTATACAAAGTTATACATATTTATACAAGGTTATACAGTCTTATACAATCTTATACCGTGATTATACAAAAATCTTGCATTTGATTATACAAAGTTATGTATACACTATGGGGGTCTCAAACAATAAAGATGCGCAACAAATAAAAAAATGCATTAGAACAGAAAGCTATTAAATACCGCGTCAATCAAAGGTCGACCACAATATGCAAGTGAGTGGAACCAATCCTTCGTGGTCACATGACACGAGCCAAAAGTAAAAGCTTTTGCAAGCTTATTTACTTTATTGGTATAAATATTTTTGGCACTACAAATCACCAAAAATAAAAAGTAATCAGAACTACCTTCATTGACAAGTATAAAATCAGAACATGAAAGCTTAAAGAAAGTTAAGCTACCTCCGCCTCGTATCCATCCCATTATCAACAAACGCACAAAACTCTTTGGCCAATGACGATAAGGGATCAAAATCATCAATTTTGATCGTGAAAGGATGCTTGATATAAAAAATGAGCTTGTGAGCCGATCTTGATGCCCCCGAATAAAAAACTAGCAAATATGGAGATTTGGCATATTTTCCTGGCATTTTCTGTCGAACCGACTGTTTAGGAGAAATGTAATCCTCTTCTACGTCTATGACGGGTGGTCTGTGAAGCACAATTTGCGACATATGTAGCGCAACTAAATCTTCATCGCCAATGTCATCACAAAATGTATCACCCTTGACATCATCTCCTGCCTCTTAGACAGAGAAAACCAATAATAAAAAACTTTCAAAATGAAGAAAAGAAAAATCAGACAAAAAAGATAAAATGCAGAACGAATACCATGATCAACACCATCAGTAACTCCCTCGTTTGCTTTGACACCTAAATCTGTTTGGTCAGCTAGCGTGTTATCTTAATTCACTTGATCGACAAAGTCAGGAACAACATCATATTGATAGCCATCATATTCGCCGAGACCAGATGTATTGTCATCAGACACGCACTGACGAAACTAATAAAAAATAATAGAAAGAGAAGGCATAACTGTTGAGTGATGATTCATAGAAGGCATAACTGTTGAGTGATTTGGTTTTATCAGCAAAACATTACCTTAGAATCAGGAACCTCCTCCCTCGTTTGCTTGGTTTCCTTCATATTCAGAAAACTAAACACTTTTTCAAAGGAAGAAACTACATAACTGTTGAGTGTCGTAACTGTATCAATCAATTATAACAAAAAACAACAAAAACAACAAAAGTAAATCAACAACCATGTTTATAAACAAAAAATCATGTATATACAAAAAGTACCGATAAACTACAGAAAAGCTAAAGCTGCAGTACCTTTCCAACAACACTCCTCAACTTCTCAACTTCAGCATTTAACAGATCAATGCGCACCGAAAGATCATAACTCGGTTTAGGCTGTTACTCGGTATTCTGAGGATAACGTCGGTTAAACTGTTACTCCGTATTCTGAGGATAAGGTCGTTTAGACTGTTACTCCATATTCTGAGGACAAGGTGGAGATGTAGAGACAGAATTATCAATGTGAAAGGCAGGCACCTCCCTTGATGCAACATCATCGGTATTAACTTCAAAAAGCGTGGCGATGTTCAGCGTTGACATCTCTTCACGAGTAGGGGAAATATTCCTATAGTTCAACTACAATACAAAAACTGGATTACAATAGTAGAAAAAGGAAATTGTGACATATTCATAATTATACATACTTACAGAAAAACTGAAATCATATATGAAGAAGTATTATGGTACAAAATGTTTACCTTGTTGATAGTAGATATGATCACCCCGCCAGTCAAAGCCGCATATGTTGGAGTTTCAGTGACTTTCCAATTAAGAATGCGTGGCACATTTGTACCAACGCGAATAGCTAGATGCTTGTCAACCATAGAGCAACACTCAAAAAACCATATTTGTAACGCAAGTGGCAAACCTCCGAGCCTACACATTGTCAAATAGTCACACTGTATGTCCCTCATTGTCTTTAAAATATCTTCAAATGGCTTTTTTTCCCAAGCATACGTCTGATATTGACCACTTTCAATGATATCAAAATCATCTTTGTTGATACCATGATTATTGGCATATGAGAATATGAAATGATGGACAAACACCGTCAAGGTCATCTTGAACGCATCATCGTCCGACTTTCAGTCCTTTTTCTTGAAGCGATCAAGAAGCTGCCCCCTCGTTATGGCCCTTTTTCCATCTCCTGGAAAATACTCTTTTAGCAACCTATTGACATCTGGTTTGTCATAGACAGTGGCGTCTTCTTCTACACACTTCAAACCAGTGATAACAACAAACTCTGCAATGCCAAACCGCCGCAAACAACCATTAATTTTAACCCACAACTTCCTTTCCCGCCCCGGGACGACTTCCCTCAATAGTATAAAATGAATAAGTTGATTTTGAATTTTAAATTGAGGCAGGTCCAAGAAGTAGCCAAAACAGCTAGCACGGAACATTTGAAGCTGCGTGTCAGTCAAACATTGCTTCAAAATGCTGGCAATATCAGTCTCGGTATGGGAACTAATACTGTTGTGGAAATGATCAGCCGATTGTATATCGAAGTCTCCAACCTTGGATATGGAAAAACAACAAGAAAGAAATCAGGAACAAAAACTATACTAAAATATTGTATAAACATGTATAAATCAGTGTAGCAGTACTTGTATAAAGATGTATAAACAGCTGTATAACCTTGTATGAAATTGTATAAGGATGTATAAAATTAATAGCAACACAGGGAATACCTTCAGCTTAGCTTTTCTCTCCTTCAACTAGCGGCGAGTAGCGATCCTTTGTTCGTGGGATATGCAATCAAGACCACTCTCACCATTGTCCTCGATCTTGCTCTTTTTATGCTTAACGTCCTCGATCTTGCTCTTTTTATGCTTAACGTCCTCAATCTTTCTCTTTTTCGGTTTAACACTGGGGCCTACATCATCTTCATCAACCAAATCAATTTTTAGCTTTTCTTTGAATTTTTCATGTTCCCACATTTCTTACTCCTTATTCTAAAAATATAACTGGAGTAGGAGTATTCTTCGTTTGCAAACGAGTCATTCGACTGCTCTCTTGTTGCGACTTTTTTGTAGGAGCAGGAGACTCAAATTCATCATCATCGGGGGCCTGGACATGCCCATTCGCTTCAGAATCA